TTTTCTTTTTTTTTTTTTTTTATTTTCTTTTTTTTTTTTTTAATTTTTTTTTTTCAATGTTTATTTATTTTTGGGACAGAGAGAGACAGAGCATGAACGGGCAAGGGACAGAGAGAAAGGGAGACACAGAATCGGAAACAGGCTCCAGGCTCTGAGCCATCAGCCCAGAGCCCGACGCGGGGCTCGAACTCACGGACCGCGAGATCGTGACCTGGCTGAAGTCGGAGGCTTAACCGACTGCGCCACCCAGGCGCCCCTCAAGTTTTCTTTTAAAGCATTCTTGAACCTCCGCTTTTCCCTCAGTGTTCCTCCCTAAACCTTTGCGCAAGCCCTGGGTGTTCCAAATGTAAGACAAGAAATCATTCATTTCTGGAATAAGTAAGGGTCCTTGAAAGTAAGAGGGGAAACTATGAGGGAAAGTCTATTGATTCTGTCAGAAATCAGCAGTCCAGCCCTTGCGTTTTGGACAGGGTCACCATGGTATTGCCAAGGGGCTGCTTAACCCAATCTGATCTTTTTTCATTAATTCACCTATTTACCTATTCATTTATTCATTCAATAAATGTGTCATGCAGATATTACGTGCAGAATTCTATGATCGACATTAAAGACAAATAAAAGGCAAATGCACTCCAAAAAATATAGGTTGCCAAGAAGAGTCAGGCTCACCTTAGTTTAACTCATTTCTTGTCTGATTAACTGCAAAAGCATCCCACCCAAGTATCTCCCTAACCCACTCTCCACAGATATGTTCAAATGCAGTTCTGTTGTGACAACTATTACAGCTTTCCCCTTACTACAAGATGAAGCCCAACATTCTTTTAATATAGGATTTAAAAAAAAATTTTTTTTAAGGTTTATTTACTTTAGAGAGAGACAGAGAGAAAGCAGGGGAGGGCAGAGATAGAGGGACACACAGAATCTGAAGCAGTCTCCAGGCACTGAGCTGTCAGCACAGAGCCTAACGGAGGGCTCGAACTCACAAACCACAAGATCATGAGCTGAAGTCAGACACTTAACTGATGGAGCTGCCCAGGCATCCCTGAAGACCAACATTTTTAAGATGGTGTACAAGGTGCCTGAGAATCTTGGTCTGGTCTTAATCTTACACCCTTATCTTGCACCCTTCTTCCTTTATGCACTGAACTTTTTCATTCTGGCCTTACTTTTTTAATAAATTTTTAATTTGGAATAATCTTAGATTTGCATAAAAGTTGCATAGATAATAGAGAGTTCCTATATACTGCTCATTCAGTTTCAGTTTCCCCTAATGTTACCATCATCCATTACTGCAATGTTTGTCAAACTTAGAAACCGTTAACATTAAATTATTCTTTTTTAAAAATGTTTATTTATTTTTGAGAGAGAGAGAGAGAGAGAGAGAGAGCAAGAGTGAATGGGGGAGGGTCAGAGAAAGAGAGGGAGACAGAATCCAAAGCAGGCTCCAGGCTCTGGGCTGTTAGCACAGAGCCCGACATGGGGCTTAAACCCATGGACGCAAGATGATGACCTGAGCTGAAGTCGAATATTTAAATACTGAGCCACCCAGGTACCCCAAAAGCCATTAACATTAACATGTGTACGTTCCTATTAACTAAACTCCATTCGTTGTTCAGATTTCACCATTTTTTTCCTTTAATGTCCTGGTTCTCTTTCTGAATCCAGCCACCCTGGCCTTCTTTTTAAATTTGTATCCCATTATGCAGTCCTTATATATTCCACTGCATTGCTTAAAACAGGGCCTTTTAAATTTTTTTTTTCAACGTTTATTTATTTTTGGGACAGAGAGAGACAGAGCATGAACGGGGGAGGGGCAGAGAGAGAGGGAGACACAGAATCGGAAACAGGCTCCAGGCTCTGAGCCATCAGCCCAGAGCCCGACGCGGGGCTCGAACTCACGGACCGTGAGATCTTGACCTGGCTGAAGTCAGACGCTTAACCGACTGCACCACCCAGGCGCCCCTAAAACAGGGCATTTTACCCTCACTCCTTGCTCTGGCCCTCTTTGGTATGTGGTTCAAATCTGAGCTCAAAAGCTCAGCCCCACTTTCTTGGGGCACCTAGGCAGCTCAGTAACTTAAGTGTCCAACTCTTGATTTCATCTCAGGTCCTGAGATATAGACTGCGTTGAGCTCCACAAGCTGGGCATGGAGGCTACTTATGATTCTCTCTCTCCCTTCTCCCTCTGCCCCTCCCCTGTTTGCTTGCTCTCTCTTGCTCTCTCTCTCTCTTAAAAAAAAAAGTCACTTTCTCATAGGAGCCTCTCTGAAGTCTGAGTCTAAGGCTGGTTTCTGTGTGATAAGCCTTCATACAATCACTCCTTTGTAGCACTTTCTTCAATCTATCATTATACCCTCCTTAATTATTTAATTCCAACCCTATTTGCAACGAGACTCTAAGGGCCATGAAGGTATAAAGCCTGTCTGTTTTTCCTAATCATTGTACCCCCAAGATTTAGTATGTTGTGTGGCACAGAGTAGGTACTCAAAAAATGTATTAAATTAATCAACAAATGAAGAATAAGGACAGAGATAAATTAAGTGATAACGGGAGAAACACATCATAGAACATCAAAATGAGTGATAGAGACAATATAGACAATCACAGGACTTCAAAAGAGAAAAAGATCAAAGTGAGAGATAGAATTACGGAAAGACTTCATGGCAATAGAGAGTGGCATTTTACCTGGATCTTTTATTCATGCAATTAACAATTATTGAGCACCTACTAAGTGTCAAGCCCTTAAAGTGTTTTTTTTTTTTCATTTTAAGCAAGGAAGTGATATGATCAATGTGACACGTAAAAATAATGTAGCAATATGGAGAGTGGATTGGAGCAGAAAGAACCTAAAAATTGAAAGAAAAAAAAAAAAACAGATAATTATCCACCTAAGAAACACTAGGACTTGAACCAAAGGAAATATTGAGGAGGAGGATTCAACAAGGACTTGTAGATAACAAAGAATAGAATAAGAAATAAGAAATTCTCAGTAGGTGAGATGGCAACAAGAACAAGTTATAAGTTAAAAATTAGCATGGACACTTGGAATACAGTGAAAATACTTCCAGGTTGAGGTCAAGGCCTCATGATGGAAGTAGTAGAATAGCAACTTGGGTAGATAAATTCTGCTTTGAAAAGTCAAGGAGATTGGATTTTATTATACTAGTAATGAGCCATTAAGCAATAATGACATGATGAAAGTGAAATATAGAATGAAGAGAATTTAGACAAAGAAAGGTGCATTGGAGAGGCTGCTGAAGCAATCTAAGCACCTGCTAAACATTAGAAACATACAGGAAGTGGCATATCTACAACACTTTTGAAAAGATTGATTTATAAGTGCCCAAATCAGTATCCAATGTAGTATCTCGTACAGATACTTTGTCCTCAATAGTTTTTAGTTGACTTACTCTTTGTTATGGAGAAAACATCCTAGAAGGCTAGTATATTTTGAATATCCATAAATATTCATTCAAAAACCTTTATATGACAAGTATGTAGAGCATACAAAAAAAATTGTACACACATGGTCTTCTTTTTTTCACTTTTTCAGCTTTCAGGAGAAATGAATATATGTGACATACTTGATGGTCATCATCCTCCAAGATGGCCCCAGGGATCTCTGCTCCCCTGGCATTCCTACACCGTGTAGTCCCTCCCACATTGTATGAAGGTTTGTCTGTGACACCAGGGGCATAGAGAAGAAGTAATGGTTTATCATCACCCCAAGTACATTATATAGCATGTTCTGTTTTGGCTTTCTCTCAGATCACTCATTCCGTGGAAAGCCAGCTGCTATGTCTTGAGGTCATTCATGCCACCTATGAGGAGACACATGCGGTGAAGAAGACAGACCTCTGGACAACAACCAGTGAAGAACTGAGGCCTGCCAACAACCACATGAGTGAGCTTTGAAATGGATTTTCTACCCCCAGTCAAGGCTTGATGTGACTGCAGCTGTTAGGACAGCTTGACTGCAGCCTAGGAGACCATGAGTTAGAACCACCCAGCTACAGCACTTCCCATTTCCTGTGCCTTAGAAACTGTGAGAGACAATAAACTGTGAGAGAGTTGTTTCAAACTGCTTACATTTGGGGTAATTTGTTACTGAGCAATGGATAACTATAACACCCTCATGCGATTAAACATTGAAAACTACCCAAAAAATCATGGTTCCTTCTCTATCCTAGCTGCTAAGAAATACAAGCTAAGTATTATTCTTAATTTTAGTTGCCTTTCTCAATCTGTAGTTGTTTGCTTTTCCTCCTTGTCGATCCCTTTATATTTTGGTTCCCATCCTTTACCTTCTGCCCACTAATTTCGGTTTTATTTTACCTACTCATTGTTGTAAAGCTTTTTTGGAAATAGATGCAGGATAAAACCACTAAGTAAAGATAGTAGGCATTAGATAGGAGCCCATCCACCATCAGAGAAACCATAATCCCCTTGGAATGAAAAGAGAGCAAGTCATAGGACACAGTCTATTACTAGTATTTAACCACATAAAGGTTGCTAATAGAATTCAAAGAAAAGGAATACCAGAAGAGTTGTGTTTTAAGTCAATTTTCCCAGAAGCCGACCTTGAGATAAGATTTGCATTATGAAAATACTCTCAAAATGAACTGCTAAGGGAATGAGGAAAGTGGGACAGGGAAGGGGCAGAAGCCAAGCCAGGGTAATATTTCAAAGTCTCACAGATGATGGTTTCAACCTGATCCTGCATCAGAAGTCTGGAATGCACTGAGGCAGAGGAGATGAGCTTCCGTACTTCTACACCAGTCACCCATTGGCCACAGGCATCTGTAGGATACATAAGTGCCCAGGCACTCCAGCTGTCTATAGGGCCTCTTGAACATTCAGGCCAAGTGGTTACAGTAGCCCGAGGAAAGTCCTCCAAAGAAAAAAGGTGACTGTGGTCAGAAGGAGGAGCACAGTGAAAACAAGGAGAACACACAGAAATTGTAAAGAGATGTGAGGCCATCTGCAAAGTTCTGCTCCGTTAGAGAAACTTCCATTCAAGGAGATGGCTCTTCACCTGTACTGTCCCTTACCAGACTGGGTAAATTAGGATAGACATGAAGGAGAAAGTATTTTAAAGAATTTACATGAGAGAACTAACCAATTACAAAATGAGCAGAACCTCTCAGGCACTCTAGAATGATTTGGTATTATAACTTAGACTCTTAATTCTGTTTCTAATCCCAAGGAGGGATCTTGAACCCATCTCTTATTTAACTTATTAATTCACATCATTTGTCTTTAGAAAAGAGGTAGCGAGAGGTTAAAAACAAAAAATCTCATGCTTCTTTCAAGCCTTAGCAATGCTATTTTTTATCCATTCCAGTTCTAAAATATAAATACAGCATAAAACCCTGAGCTCAACCTTGAATAAAAAGAACGCCTGGTGGAAGAGGATGAGGCCACACAAGTGTTTTAAGACTTTCTCTTCTAGGGGCGCCTGGGTGGCGCAGTCCGTTAAGCGTCCGACTTCAGCCAGGTCACGATCTCGCGGTCCGTGAGTTCGAGCCCCGCGTCGGGCTCTGGGCTGATAGCCTGGAGCCTGTTTCTGATTCTGTGTCTCCCTCTCTCTCTGCCCCTCCCCCGTTCATGCTCTGTCTCTCTCTGTCCCAAAAAAATAAATAAACGTTAAAAAAAAATTAAAAAAAAAAAAAGACTCTTCTATTATTGCTCCCAGTTTGCTAAAATTTGGAAACCATTTCAAATACAAGCCATTTAATAATGTCTCTTTCTCTCTCTCTCTTTCTCATCTGCCCCCCCTTTTTTTTTAATTTATCACTGACAATCCTAGTGCTTTAATAATTTTTCCTCCTATATACGCTTTAGGACATAATCTAACTTTATCTGGAGTTGAGCATAAGAGCATAAATCATTAAGTCCCTGCTTGCCCGATCAAGAGCCTATCTTTCAGAAAAATCAGGCGTCCAGGAACGGCCATTTAGAGAAGCTCTATTTTCTGGCCCTCCATCAGGGTTGCAGACATCTCTCCCCAAGGATTCATCAACCGCCAAACAAAGAGGAAGGCAGGTCAATGACACCAAAATCTGCACCTTCAGCAGCTTCAGAAGTCTCTGACTAGAAAAAATAAAATAAAGAAAGAAAGAGAAAGAGAGAGAATGGGAAAATAAAAAACCATACAATCTCAAAGGAACTTTAACAAATGGTCTCGGAATTCATAGGTTACATCCTGGAAAGGAGACTTTCAAAACCCTTAACAAGCAAGTTTCTGGTGCTATAATGATGGGCTACCAATCAGCCTAGATAGATACCAGTCATTATTGTTTTATTAGCTAGAGTCCAGTTTTGTGTGCTATTCTATCATTTTGACAAAAGGGCTTCTTCATGATACGTTTTATAATGTTATCATGACTTCAATGTGTATAAACCATACTGAAAGATTCACATGTATAGAATGTAGGCACTGACTTCCAGTTGAATCTTTCTTTCTTTCTTTCTTTCTTTCTTTCTTTCTTTCTTTCTTTCTTATGTTTTCTTTATTTCTGAGGGAAAGAGAGAGCATGAGTGGAAAACGGGCAGAGAGAGAGGGGGACAGAGGATCTGAAGTGGGCTCTGTGCTGACAGCAGTGAGCATGATGTGGGGCTCGAACTCACAAATCGCGAGATCATGACTAAGCTGAAGTCGGACACTCAACCAACTGAGCCACTCAGGTGCCCCTTGATTATTCCTCTTTCAATTTGTCCTCAGATACCCTTGTACTTTGGCAAAACCAATTTATACCACAAAAATGATAGAATTCCAACCCAAAACAGGAACCATTGCTTTGAAGAGGATTGCTCATCTCATAGGTGAGAAAGCTGAGAATCAGAGAGGTTTAATAAACTGCTTACGGCCACACAAAGCCTATAGTAGAAGCTCAGATACCTGTCTCTCTATCCAAAGCTTTTCCAGTTATATCACAGTTTATCTGAAAAGGTTAGAGACATATTTAAACTCCAAAGTGGTGGTGTGTAAGATTTGAAGATTCTTTTCAGGACAAGACACAACCCACTGAAACTCAGAGAGATGAAAGGCAAAACTCTATTACTTCAACTCCAAGTGAGAGAAGGCTGCCAGGCAGGGCCACATAAGTGATTGGACCAAGTAAAGTCAGGCTGGAGACGGAGGATGCGGCTTAAGTAACGCAGGTAGGTTGGGGTTAGCTAGGTTTTTTGCGCCTCCTATGGATCGGATCATTTGAATAATTCCTCAGTTCTGAGGGTATGGGTGTTCCCTTGTTGTTTGGTGTCTGGTCCGCAATTAGGGTGGATGCAGAGTAGGCCTGGAGGGTGGGAGATCCATAAGGGAAAGGTGAAGATGTTGGACTTACCTAGTTGTTTTTCTTTGAGAACAGAAACTGACCAGCCTTCAACCGTAGCCTGAAGACAAACAACAACATCTCCAAAAATTTGTATTACAAGTGGTTATGAATAAAGTGTTAGCCCTAGGCTAAACCACACATACCCGGAGAAGCAGCTGTGAAGAAAAAATAAATTAAACAATACCATTAAGAATCAAAAGACCTGAGGTGGAGTCCCTCTGCCACTCATTTGCTATGTGACTTTAGGCAAGTTATCTAACTTCCTCTGTACCTCAGGCTTTTCATCTCTGCATTGAGATTTCACATAACTTACCTCACTGGGTTATTGTGGAGGATAAACTTAATAAGGTGTATTTAACAAATACATGTATTTTGTGTGTTTACATAAAACACAAGGAATTTTTGTCCTAATCACGGGCCCCGTACAAATGTAAGGATATCCAAAACATTTTTAAAGGACCGCATTCTTATCACTACATGTATGTACAAGCCTTCTCTCGGGGAGTGTCTTTTTACCAACAAATAGACAGAGCTATAAATTGTGGATTCTTGATATAATAGATCAAGATAGTCCTTCCAATCTGTTATGTTCTATTGCCTCAATATAATAAACTGCCAAGACAATATCATGCATCATATTAGTAGCAGATTATTCAGTGAAACTCCCAAGGAACAGAACTCACGGCTCACAGACAGTAGCTTTCATCCTTTGTTATCTCATTCTTCTTTATAGAGTCCTGAGTTTTACAGAGTAAGAAAAACCTTAACTTACAATAATCAGAAAAAAAGATATGACTCATGAAAACAATACAAATTTTTAGAAACACAAAACTTTAAAATTATCAGGGGTAACAGCAAGACAAAAATAAATCATTTTGGACTTAGAAGAACTATTTTTGGGGAAAAGATTTATAAGGAAGATCAAGGTAGGGGAGTGTGGATATAAAACATTCAGAATTCTTTTCCAGACATTCAGAATTATGATGATACTCAGTTCATTTTTCTCAGGAATCACAGATGTTTTGATACTAATAAAAGTGACTCCGATTGGGCTCACCATGGATTCTTTCCCATTCTTCCCTCATCAGAAATGGGTAGTAGAGAAGGAAAAGACCTATTAGTTATAACCCTTACATTCTCTCAAAAGAACTTTCTGAGAAGAACTCAAAAGTTTCTAAGAGATTAAGGTGTTGTGTTTTCTTTTGTCTTGTTTTGCTTTTTATCCTTTCACCACAAAAATAAGATACGGGTAAATTATTCAACTATATATTTTTTTCAAAGCATTATAGCATATACTCTTAAAATGCTTACAAAAAAAAAAAAAATGGTTTGCAGAGTTCAGTTCCAGAAGAGTATCACATATAATGAAGCCCAGCCCAAACAAAAATTTCCAATTGTTACTTACAAATCCTGGGTATCTAAGGGCATCCACTAAAAATACATAAAAGCTCTCATAATGTGTTTTCTCATCTACTCTGTAACCTTGAAACCTGTGGGAGTCCCTCACTATCATAGTCTGAGTGGATCTAATCTCTTACCACTAACCTGTCTTCCAAGAACTCGCTATATCGGTGGCAAGAACTAGGCCCACATATCCACCACAAATCAGTCACTAATGAGCGGAATGAGACCACAATACATGGCTTAGACAAATCAGGAGTTATTGCTGAATCACGTGAAAAAGCACTGGACACATCAAGTTCTAAAATGCCATTGGGTAGGAACCCAGAAAGGTCTGTTAGCACTACCATTTCTTGAGTACGGCATGTAGTATCTTAAATACAATATCTTATTTAGTTCTCAAATGCCCATGGGGTATTCATTACTATCCTCATTTTACATTTGAGAAAACAGTTGCAGAAAGGATCAATAACATTTCCAATGGATCAATAATATGCTCGACGTCACGCCGCTTTTTTTAGCGGAACCAGAAACCATAGCTAGGTTTGTCTGATACCAAAACCTTTGCAGTTACCCAGTGTGCTGAACTTTGAAGTAAAAGCTTCAGCAGCTATCATTTCTGTTGGATCATCATAATGAGCTGTTGTTGAATCATCCATGTGTTTTCCTTGGACGTTCTTGGCAAATAACAGAGGAAAGATACTGAGCTTAAGATTCTTTCTAGTTTTCCCAAAACCCACACAGTCAGATTCACCTATGTGGAGATTACTCAACAAAATGGCCATACGGAAAAAGAGAGAGAACCAGAGGACTGCCACGAAGTGCTGGGAACAATGGAGTTATTAGGAGGAGATAGCAAAATATCATTGATTCACTGGAGAAAATGTTCCCGTTCTGATCCTCACATGCTGATACTACAGATGGACCCAGCTTAGCTGAGGCACGCTCTGTGCTTCAGCTGTTTACTTAAGCAGCACCGGGGTTCTCAGAAATAGTTGCTATGCCAACCAGCCCTAGGACTATATATACATTCATGACCGGGGCTTATTCTTAGGGCTTTGTTACCTCTCTTTCAAAAGTTTGAATCTCCTATTGCTAAACTGCTTGCATTCAAGCATCACAGCCTCCGAGAGGCAGCTTCCTTTTCCCGAGCAGGTGACAAACTCAAGTGGAGGTTTGCAGCCTAGGTTGAGCCACCCTTTGACGTCACAGTTTTATAGTCAGGGACCAGACTGCTCTATTTGCCCAGACCTCTGAAGATTCGGTGTTTAAATGATAAAGGGCAGTGCCTTTTGTCATCTACTATTAACTGTCACCTGTTCATGTGACCACAGAAGTTCTCAGAGGAGAAATAAAGCAAGCTTTTGAGGTGCCATGATTATCGTGCTTTTTCCATTTCTTTACCACATTTTTAAGGGGACACATTTCAGAATAGTGTCAGCCAACAAATTTGGCCAATCAATCCACCTCAAGTCTCCAGCTAGAGCTGCATTTAAATAAACCTGTAATGTTGAAAGCTGAATAGAGAAAGCTCTTTAATTACCTTTTCTCCTGTTTCTGTTACTTTGATGGCTTTTGTTCAAACGCGTCTGAGTTTTCAGTCTGTTTATTTTATAATTATTGGATGATTACATGCAGCACTGCCGTTTCCATTAGATTTCGATGGCTGATAAAACCATTGTTGACAGGGAGCACGCAAATGAACTTGGGGAAACCAGATTAGTAATGTTTGTGTTGCTGCATTTAAATAAAATGAAATGTCCTGGTAGCAGTGTGATCAAATCTGAAAATTTTGTTATAAAGAAAGAAAAAGCAGCTCTGTGAGAAATCAGGTTTTCAACAGAGAAGCTGTTTCCTGTTGAGACATCATTTTAAATCCTCAAGTGTGCAGCCATTTCTCCTTCAAACAGATTATAAAACCACAAAACAATCATATAATCTCTTCTAACAAGAGGTTTACAGCTAGACAGATTGCTTTAAAGGAGAAAGAAGTAAAAGGAAGTCAAGATCTAAATACTGATAATACATGCTAAATCCATTTGAATTGATAAGGTAGAGGAAGCATGGTGATAAAGCTTAAGGGGTTAAGACTTTACGTTCACCCAAAGATCAATACCTAGGGAAGAAGAAAACTTGGAAACGTTTCCATCCCCAATTAACAACTAAAATCTACATGGCAGATGAGGCAAAGCAGAAACAGACAGGCTATTTCCCCAGAAACAGACCCTGCTCAAGCAGGGCTCAGGCTCGCTTTGTTATCGATGTAACAACTGTGCGAATGACAATCTTTAAGTGCTAAAATATTTGCAAAAAGGAATGAAAATCTGCTGTTTCTCTCAAGTCATTAAAGCAAAGCCAGAGAGTTGAAACAAAACAGAACCGCATATGGTTGGCCAAACTGAACAGAAACTAACATCCACGCAGGGCGCCTTAGCAGCCATGCTCCGTGGTTGGTGCTGTGCCACCACGACCCCTAAACTGCCAGTTTGGAACATGTCACCCATATAGCTGGTCAAGGACAGAGCTGGGATAAGGACCCAATGCCTCTGCTTTTGGCCATTTGGCAATGGCAGGCTATCTAGTTTGATTTCGTCTTGTACAACATTCAGTTATTGCATCAGTCTACTGTTTCCTGCTCCTTACCATCTTCATTCAGCAGAATCCAGGATCTGACCTCTTCACCATGAAAGCTCAGCCAGGGCTGGAAGTGAGTGAGCAGCACCACCTACCACCTACATGTTCACCTGGCCTGATGTTAAATATCTTGGAGAACAAAACCTAGAATGGTTGACTACACTTCTGACCATTCATTGAGATGGTTTGAAATAATAGAATAACTCGGGCTAATAACTACAGAGTGCTTTCTATATGTCAGGCCCTTTTCTAAGATTATTATTGTATAGATAGCTCATTTAATCATCTCAACAACCTGAAAAGTTAAGTACTCTTATTTTCATCCTCCTTTTCTTACAGATAAGGAGCAAAGGGGCAGACAAATCTCTCAGCTACTAAGTTCAAAGAGCCAGATTCTGACCTAGGCAATCTTGCACCAGAGTCCACACTCCTACCTGATGATATTTACTGAGACTGTAAGGATAACTGAGTGTGCATATGATCGTGCATCATGCACATTTAAGTGGTGCTTGCATCTAATTGCATATCTCTGGTCCACTGAACAGTAAAACAAAATTGCTTTTCTCTTACCTATTGCTTTCCATGATTACCATTACTGATAGTTGGCCTGATAAAAATGTGTTTCTAATTGTTATTGAATGTATAGAATTGCCAACATTTCTATGTCCCAAATTTATGAATGATATATTTGTATCCAGTTTCACAAGTACATTGCTTGTATTCTCTACTTTCACACTAAAGGAAGCAGCTCTATAAAAATAACACCTGTTTGTAAAGTTTTCTATACCTACCTTTCGAATGGTGTACAGCATTGCATTTGGTCCTCCCAGCAAGTCAATGAAGTGACGTAGGTGTTATTTTCTCAGAACGCAGGGACAAAGGAGTAGGCATGGGAAAATCAAAGACAGTAGTCACCAGTATCTGTTCTGGAAAATACAAGAAGAAGAAATATCATGGAACCAGTAACTGAAAAAAGTTAAGCTAGCTTGCCCATACCAAGTCGAGTGCAAAGGATGGTTTTTCCTGGAGATGCCTATTAGCCAACAAATCACAGTGATTGTGTTCTGTATGTCATACCATGGGCTAGGGGGAGTTAGCTCAGGAGGAGAAACCAAACTCTCTAAACTTGAAGAGCTTCCAGTTTGAAAAAGAGACAGATGTATGTAAGTCAATATAATTTTTCTTAACATTTATTTATTTTTGAGACCGAGAGAGACAGAGCATGAATGGGGGAGGGTCAGAGAGAGAGGGAGACCCAGAATCCAAAACAGGCTCCAGGCTCCGAGCTGTCAGCACAGAGCCAGATGTGGGGCTCAAACTCACGGACCGAGAGATCATGACCTGAGCCGAAGTCGGACGTTCAACCGACTGAGCCACCCAGGCGCCCCTGTAAGTCAATATAAATAAGAACAAGATTTCACATAGCTGCATTTTATGTGCCAGGGAGAGATGCCTGCAAACTCTCACTGCCTTCCAATGTTGTGAACACTTTCACTCCAACAGATGACCCACACGTGATTAGTACTAAAGAAATTTTAAATGATTGAATTGTTATTGAGAAAAGAATAAATAGCATAATAATAAAGTCACTGGAAGAATCTTGAAACAGATGGAAAAAGCTTTGTTTTCATGAGTACAATAACACTGTAGTTTGAGGAGCTGTTGTAATCCAGTCGCTGCTGGAAGTTGGAAGCCATTTAAAAAGTTTCCACTGTGTTAACTCAGGACCAAGGTCTGAAATGAAAACTAGTGATGGAGTTTGAGAGAGGCATGTGCTTACCCAGCAAGTCTAAGAAATCAGGAAGAGTAAGGACTGTGCCGCCTTGGTTTCTTATTTAGCAGTAGAGCAAGGTGGAGAAGAGGAAGATTTTTTAATGATAAAACTTCCCCATGGTATTTTGAATATGAAGATAACTGCCTTTCCCTGTTACGATCTTAGTCGCGTGTTTTTATACTGGTGATAGGTATGGCTTATTCATGCACTCTCATACTTGACCCCTTCCTCCCACTCCAAGTCTCACTAAACATCACACATTTACAATCACAGAAAAGAACAAAACAAGCCCTGATAGACTGGGTTAGGGCATACATGTGAGACCCGTCTGGGGAAAAGAAAGAGAGCTGGCTTTTATCAACACATTACAATGGAACAGACATCCCACCAAGAGTACCCAGATTCTAGGCCAAGGGGGTTATTTCAGGGGTCAGACTAAAATAGCTGCTTTTCTGCTTTTAATTTCAATTACCTATGACAGCCTCCCTCAGTGCAGCCTACAAATGAATAATGATCCAGAAACTGAGAAGGTGTAAAAAGTTATGCATCTTGTCAGAATTTTGTTTAGTACACGTGGAGTTTAAAGTCTTACTATTCAGTAGTGGCCTTAAGACAGCATGCCAATTTCTCTGGATGTCTGTTTCTTCACCTGCAAAAGACTGGATTGAATTGGGAAAGATATCTGCTCCAAGGAGATGAGCTAAAACTCTGTGATGCCAGCACTGCGGCATGACTAAATAGTCCACAATATCTTGCATTTCAGTGACGTGATTCACTCAAGCTATTGTCTCATCATGTAATAAAGGCAGTTGGTCCAGTAAACAGTATTTCTGTTTAATATTTAAAGACCCAAACACTTAGTTTGGTGTAGTATTACTAGCATTTTGTTTATTGAAAAGTCTGCTTTTCTGCTTCTTCTCAAATGTAATAGTTTGTTCACATGGAATTTTCAGAAGAAGGATGGGGAATTATCCAAAGGAAGAAAGATAGCCTATATTCTGTTTCAAGTCAGATTCATATTTTAAGCTTCACCATTGCATTTTAAGTCTTGCAGGACATATTGGTAATCAAACTGCAAAATATCTAGGAAAAAAATCAAATCACCTCCTTTTTCTCCTCTCCTACCTCTTTTTTAGAGGAGATGGGACAAGGGAAGGGAGAAGAAATGAGACGAAAGGAAGGGAGAGGAAAATCTTTTCCAGATTTCAAACTATCACAATCCAAATGAAAGGTCTTGCCATTCTTGCCTTTTAAGCAGTCGGAGTTTGGAGTCAAGCCCTTCTCGAGGGCATGTTTCTTGCCCTCCTCCTCTGTACTGATTGCACCTCTGTAATCTCCCCACTCAGTTCTGTTTTCTTAGCGCTCCCTCTGCCCTCAGCATCTCTGCTGTGATTGCTCTGGCCTTGTTGGCTCCCGCCAAGCTACCTCTGCTCCTCCCTTATCCTCTTCCTCCATTTCAGTAACCCCTTTCAGTGCCCTCCTCCGCTCCCCCCCTCACCCTTGTGATCTTTCTGGTCTCTGCAGCTTTTCCTATGATCACTCTCCTCAGTTTTTCTCTGTGATTTCTCTGCCCTCTCTGGCTCTCTCAGCTTTCTTTAGAACTCAGCAAACCTCATAAGGTTCAGAGATTAATTTCAGTTTGGATAAGCACCCAAACTTGTGAGTGCGTATGCCAATTCTTTACTGAAACTCTTTGGATCTAAAATCTCGCTGGGAAGGCCAGCCTTATAAAAGTTTAAGTATTTGGAGTTTTATCAAGAGAATAATTTCCCCTCAAACCCTGGTCTTTCTGCTTCTTATTTGGGGGAAGGTGAAAAGACAATGGCTATTGTTCACTCTGCACAGTTTATCTTCTTTCATTTGACGTGGGCTATGCATGATTAGAAAACACAGCAGGGCCCTGAGAAGGGATGCAAACAACCATTTTTGATTCATTCAGTAAAGACTTATTTGATGCCTACTATGTGCTGGAAATGCAGAAAGCTGGACTTTACTTCAATCTCCACGAGATACTTCTAGATTTACTTTCCATAAACATACTTTACAGATTGGATACTTTGTGTGACCTTAGATTGGAGATGTCAAAAACGTTACCTCATAAATCTCTCCACCATTCTTGTTCCACTGCCTAGATTTTAATTTAAAGATTGGATATTATTACTTACTTCCTGTTACTTTAAAATGTGTATTTCTATTATTCCTATCACAGGGCATCTTAGGTGCTTTTAAATCAAAAGTTTTCATGGACTCTCCCTTTCTGGGTCAAATCCATACCATACAGAATAAAAGATGAATGGAATGGCAAAAGTAATTCTTTTTGCTTGATGTTTCCATCCAATACCAAGTACACTTCTGTGTTTCTCTTCTTTTACAAAAATTTCTTAGGAAAATTGGAAAACCGAATCTTTATAGTCAACACTAAACCAGATTGCATAATCTGAAAATATTTGAAATGTTGAGCCAAAGGGTAAACTCTGTCTTTTATCCTACTAATATTTGGGTATTTTCTCTTCTATCCCTCTGTTATAAGAATCTCAAACCAGTGATTCATGGGCCATGGCTGCCAAAAGATGTGTTTTATTTGCCTGTAAAATATTTTTAGATTTGTATATGAATTCTCTTGCAGTCTGATAATCCCCATTCTGCCACACTCTCCAGTAATATCTATTGTTACATTCATGTTATACTTCATACATTTACATACTCACCTGTTCCACAGGCATTTGGTTTATGGTTCCTAAGTAAAGTTGGACAAAATGGGAGTGAGATTTGGAGGGACATGAGCTTTTGATAATAGCTCAAAGCATCCTAACAATAGGTTTGCTTGAAATGGAGTAAGAAGATGAAAAGCTTGATTAAGGCTCATTCTCCCACACCTACATATGGATGAATGAACAGGGTGACCTGAAGGAAGGAAGCCATCCTATTTTGTTGATAATTCACAGGAGAGCCTTCTGCAATGTTTGGGATGAGTAAGCCTGCATACCGAGAAGAATTCTCTCCTTTAGTAGACACTAGCAGGGATACGCACATTCCCTTAAAGATGAAGATGTTGCTTTCAACTTGGCTCAGGATCAGGAAAATAGTATTTATAATTAATCTCTTAAATCAAATTGCATGGATTCTTTAGACTGTCTTTTATGGTTTGGTAAGGTAATGTCTGAGTAAAATGGCAGTGGAATTACAAGAATTTGTCCATTTCCTCAATTTTGGCAAGATCCTACCTATGTAGAAACTGTCACTGACAATTGCAAATGCTTCGAGGAAATCAAGGGCCAGAAGTAAGTTGAACCCAGACTGGATATGATACTTCTTTACTTGCTCTGTGTAGCCATCTCACTTGAATTCTGTATCAGGATCTTAAATTATGTTTCTAGTTTGAAAGAGGACAGGGTGGTGTGCAGTACAGGATTAACCTTGTCCAGACCAAGGTTTGGTGTTTGCCATCAGCGCTTGGAAAGTAATCTCTGAACCTCTGAAATGTCGTTTCTGATAAGAATGTCTTTGTTCACCATTGGGATTTGAGCCATGCGAGATAGACTATGGTAACAAAGTGATTTCTGGCGGAGAGCTTTGTTCCATACGGTATCAGCTGAACCTCTGCAGGGGCTGGAGACTAAGTTTAGCTACATGGATGATCAACCGTGTCTTTGTGATCAAGCCCCAATAAAACTCTGGCCACCAAGGATCAAGTAAACTGGTTGGCAATACTCCATGTGTATTGCCACACAGTGTTGTTGAGAGAAACAGAGGCTGTCCACACAACTCCACTGGGAGACCACAGGGAGCACCATGCCTTATATCCTGGATCCTGCCCTATTGGACTCTTCCTTGTGTTAAATTTTATTTGCATCCTTTCGCTGTAACAAACCGTAAGTATAACAGCTTTTCTGAGTTCTGTGAATCCTTCTAGTGAATTATTGAACTTGAGGATGATCTTGGGGAACTCAGAACTTGCACTTGGTGTCAGAAGTGAGGGTGATCTTGGGGAACTCCTGAAACTGCAGGTGGAGAGGGGTGGAAGGATTAGGGAAGAATCTATTATATCTCCAGCATGTCTGCAGTGAATTTCTGAGGCCTTTATCCTTACAGAATCCCACTGTTGTCAGAAGACAGAGTGTCCTCAGACTTTGAGTCCTTATCCAGCTCACAGAAAGGGGTCTGGGCATCCATGAAATCTAGCCCAAATTTCTAAGCAACAACACATGGATTCTTCTCCATCTCCCCCGACCTTGGCCCTACCAAGAGAAAGAAAGGAAAGCCAGCCAGCTCCTCTTTCTTTCCTGCTCAGCGTCTTATTCTGTAATTTTTTCTAAACCTGCTTCTCAATATCATCTCATTAAGGAAAAAGATAATTACCATATTAACATCTTGCCTCCCAACACTTAGTGGAGTCACAAGCATTTAACTTCACACTTAAAAGAAATGGGTACCAAGGTATCTGACACCTATTATTCAAATGCAAATCTCCTAGTCTAGCTGAAAACTCAGTTTCTTTTCATTTCTGACTACAAAGAACAGATGGCATTTTCAGGGAACTGATCTAAAATTGCCTGTGGGACTGGAGGAAAAAATACAGGTATGTGTATAGATCCACCTTAGAAAGTAACAAATTATATTTGGAAAATAGACATCTAGACTAATTCCACCTGCGATACTAATAACATGCTGCCAAACACTGGAAAAGCTCTTTCCGTACCTAGCACTTCCCTTTTTAGTATAAGGCTGTGAGCCCTAGAGAGAAATACAGGATGCCCAATGGCACACACCCAGGGATTCCTCCCTCCCAGTACATGGTCCACACAATAATCACAAGGCACCACAAGTGGGGAACACAGGACAGACTCCAGGGTGGCCGCTGCTCCTATTCCAACCACTTAGTGAAGGATTGCCAAGTAGCTGTCACTATGCAGAGCGCATACATTATCTCCTTTAATCTTCCAACAGCCCTGGAGGGAGAAGGTGTTATTCTTCCCATTTTCAGAGATGAGGAATCCAAAGTTTAGAGATGCTAATGGGCCTGCCCAAGATCACAAAGCTAGCCACAGCCAAATCCGCATTCCAGCCCAGCTCTGTCCACCTAAAAACACTTTTTAATCTCTGCACATTCGGCATTCTGGTTAATTATAGACACTGATTATAGCAATTTATCCTATATATCATTAATGGATTGCTAATTTTCAAAGAATTAAAGTCCAGGAAAAGACCCTTAAGACTAAAAGTACTAAAATTATACAGAATATAATCAAATTTTTCTTGGATGTTTCAGATGATACGTTAAGCCCTGGTAATGTCTCAGGTGCATCATCCTACAGAAGAGTGATTGTGCTAATGAAGTGTAGGTCAAAAGAATAACAGATAAATCAGCTTCCACTTACACATAATCACTATCCTAATTCTCATAAATACTTTTGCAGAGTTCATGATGTAGTGATCTACTAACTTTTTTTCAATTCAAGTTAACAAATCTTTATCTAGTGCTTTCTCTGTGCCAAGCCCTGTGGTAAGCTCTGGGCAGCAGTAATAAGCGTGATATAATGCCCGTCCTTAAGGAGGACACATTCTGACTTTGGAACACTCCATTATCCCCCTTGCAATAGAATTACCTTGTCAATATTTAATTGGCTGTAAGTGGAATATTAACAGCAGCAGATCTACATTTTAAAAAATTACCACTGGTATGTCCACTGATGTTGTAAAGGTGACTAAATACTACTTTTCTCTTCTCTTCTGCATGCTACCTTTTTAAATGAGCTATAACTACCTCCCATGTCACCCAAGCTTTTTTAGAAACTCACCCCCTTCCGCCAGCCGCCACCCCCCCACACACTCCCCTTAGTAAATAAATCATTCGGTATGGTAGTTGTTGGTGGCAATATCTGGCATCTATCACCGATGCATATTCACAGGGATTTTGCAAAAATCTCTCTTACGACTCTTGGGAGGGAAAGGAAGCAGGGAACAAAGGCAGAAGGAAGGGAGGAAAGGAGCATAACCTTCCCTTTGGCAGATGTCTGGGAAAAGGAGACTCTTTATGAGATCACTGCATCAAAGGGAAGTAAGAAGTTTCTGGGCTGCCAGTCACAAAGCCACCAAAAACTCACTTTTAATGAAAAAAGAAACTGTTAACTCCTGCACTGTTGTAAAATACTTACCAAAGACACCTTCCCTGCTAAGTGCCATTCATTTCAGGAGTGAAATGCTGTAACAGAGAAAAATGCCCAGGGCAACTGGGAACCAGAGAAGGAGGGAAGTGTGTGGTTCAACTGTCCCTGTAGGGGAGGGAAAGCAAAGTGTCTCTTTCCTTGACAGCTACCCCACTTAACTACTGTGCAGTCAGCCCTATTTGGCACCAGTGAAAATTCAGCCTTCCAGCAGATTCCCTGCCATCTGCCTTATGACTCCCAGTCTATAGTCAACACACCTTGAATGCTTAAAATCTGCAACACTCCCAAGGGCTGCCTTTTTGGGGCAATTAGATGATCCATGGAAAGAAAATCTTTACTTTGCCACTTGGCTTCAGTTTCCAAATTGAGTCGAAATTCTGGAAGCGAATTCAGATAAACATTATTTCCTGATTTTTTCTTCTTCACCTTGGTGTTTTTTTAGTACCCATAGCCAGCGGCCATGGAAGCTGAGGGAGTGACAAATGGCCATCGGGAAGACTTGAGTCTCCAGGAAATCAGCAGAGACGTTATTCAACTGACAAGGCAAAAAAGGGAGAAATGAAAACAGAAACAAAATAAGTTCAGTTTTTGGCCCCAGGGCTCTACCAGGTATCTGCCAATCTATTCACCCTGAAATCTGAAGAGATTCCAGATGGAAATGTTTTCTTTTTTTTATTATTATTATCTCTTTACTTTATCGGGATGTTAGTGGTTACTATTTGAAAGTTTCCTTGTATAGGGTTAAGAAAGAAGCTAAGACAATTGCTCAAAATCTATGAAGAGAAGTGGGAAAGCTTGGGCATTTACTCACTTAGATCACTGGAGTATACATCTCAGTAAAGCCAAGATCTGCTCTTCCGAAATGTATCCATTTTCCACATGAAGGAAAGGCAGGCATTTCGAATTTTTTTTTTTTTTTTTTTGGTTCAACATTGTTTTTCATAGGATTGAATACAAGCAAAAAATATCTTCCTGATCCATTTGGATTCTAGCTGTGACCATGCTGAATGACTTATGCACTAGTCCAGGCAAGGCCGGGAAGTGTAGATAATTGGTATCTTTGCAATGTGAAAAGTCTGGTGGACAGTGGGATGGATGTTAGAAATCACGTTTTGTTTTTTTAAGGAATCTATTTTTTTTTTAATGTTTATTCATGTTTGAGAGAGAGTGTGTGTGAATGGGGAAGGAGCAGAGAGAGAGGGGGACAGAGTATCTGAAGCGAGCTCTGTGCTGACAGCAGCTAGCCCAATGCTGGGTTTGAACTCACAGAGTGTGAGATCATGACCAGAGTTGGAGGTTTAACTGACTGAGCCACCCAGGTGGCCCTGTTAGAAATCATTCTTTGATGTCAAACTACTATCATCCTTCCCACAGTTTTTTTTTTTCCTCATGACTCTCTGGTAATTTTTATCTACTCCCCTTTGTTAAATGCTTCCTCTGAAGATAGACTAATAAACTCCTTAAACCTTTTCAGTTAAGATCCACATTTATCAGATTCATAGCTGTACTCATTTTCTTAGGCACATACTTGAAGCGATCATCAGCTCAGATATAAATAATGACTGTGAACAACTGTATTTTTCAATACAGTATTTAAAAATACACTAAAGCTGAAACAAAAGTTTCCTAGTTAAAATAGGAAGTGACCTAGTTTCAACCAAAAATATATTCACATCATACCACACCCATGTTCCAAGGACAGTTCGCTAATTTCTTAAACACATTTAAAACGCAACATGTTTTTCTATAGCCTCTTAACATGTATTTCAATCACTTCCATTCAGAATGAAACTTAGATTAGCTTTACAATCAATACTCATCTTCCATTCTTTTTTAGATCTTTTAGAGACAAGACTTATTTCTCTATGTTGAAAGACTCTTACTTGCATTAAGAATTTCTACTCTGTCAGAATCCAGATCAAAAGGCACAGGCATGGTAACATTTTTTTAACCGAAAACTGAGTGAATGATCCCAAATGTATGGCTTGTACTTATCAACTTTCAATTCAGAGTCCTAGACCAGCAAACAGTGTCTCCCCAGCTTCTTGTTCCCTGTTGCATTTGTGCGGTTTCTCTCATTAGCAGTTCCCAGAAGCTAGAAGTGAGTTCCACAGAAGGGACTGATGCTTTGAACTCAATAGGTTTCTTCAGGGTAAAATTTTACACCAGGGCTCCAATTAGAACCTAAGGCTGATTACTTGCATTTATAGGTCTCCTGTCTAAATCCTAGCTCTCTTCATCACTGGGTCGATGTTTCTTCACTAGATGATTAATTGTAGGAACATTTCCATGGTTCCTCTTTAGAGGTCTTCTATTGCTTTGGGGGAAACTCTAAGGGTTTTGCTTTAGCAAACCAAGAAAATGCCTAGGAGTGTGAGCTCTGGAGCTACCCTGCCTCGATTTATAACCCAACAATATCACTTACCAAGTGTCACCTTGAGCGAGTTGCTAATCTTTTCAAAATCTTAGATTCCTTATGCATTAAATATAAATACTTAATTGTACTGACTTTAAGGATTTCCTTTAATGATTAAATAATCTGTATAAAACCTGACAACACTAAAATATTGAGTACAGCACTCAAAATAGCAGATATTATAAGCTATTATTATGTATATTAATATATATATATTATTAGTTTTTTCTGGTTCACTGGAGTCTCATCAGGGTGTAACACAAATTGTATCTTGAAAATCTCTCTAAAGTAGTATGTATTCTTTTAGGTGCAGAGTCTTGAAAAGACATCATCTGCAGGAAACTGTCACCACCCCCATTGATATCTTTTCTGTGTGTCTTAGGTCACTTACTGCATGCAGACACCTGCAACTCTCTGATAAGGATTTTTCATCTGGCAGTGGGAGCACCCTCAGTCTTTGGTTGGGGTCAACAAGAAGTCTGGAGGTTAATGTCTCTCTGAATCCTCAAACAACGACAAACAAGGAGTTGAACGGTAAATATCACTGCTTCCTTGGCCATCAGTTGGGATAAATGAGACATGTTCTCATTGTCTTCTGGAGTTCCCTTGAGGGGCTGAGCTCTAGATATCCTCAGAGATAACCAGCACAGGGTATATTTTTTATTGTCTTCATTCTCTTTCCTGATTTATGTCTCCACTTTCCCAGTATTTCAAGGGATGACCTACCAAATTCATTAGTTAGACTTGAACCCTTATCTCAGAATCAGCGTCTGGGGAACCCAAACCAAGACATCTTTAGATAAATCCATTATAGCCACGTTTTCATTCAATGAATATGGAAACAAATTATTCCTCTTTGGTTGGGAACTTGGTAATACAATTGACTTGGTTTAAAGATTATATACGATAGGGGCGCCTGGGTGGCACAGTCGGTTAAGCGTCCGACTTCAGCCAGGTCACGATCTCGCGGTCTGGGAGTTCGAGCCCCGCGTCAGGCTCTGGGCTGATGGCTCAGAGCCTGGAGCCTGTTTCCGATTCTGTGTCTTCCTCTCTCTCTGACCCTCCCCCATTCATGCTCTGTCTCTCTCTGTCCCAAAAATAAATAAACGTTGAAAAAAAAATTATATACGATATACACGTGTATACATGTATGTGTGTATGTATTCTTAGAGTTGAAACCATAGTGGAGCTCAACAGTGTGGTTCTGCCTTCCCATTCCAACTTCCAGAAGTTTCTCCATTCCTCTAAAAGTTTCATGTAGAATATGGGTCTTAGATCTTCCTCTTCTCTTCCCTTGTTGAAAAAACTTCACCTCAGAGCAGTAGCTGAGGCCAGATGATGCAGGTAGCTTTGCATGGGAAAGGAGGGAGGCCAAAACAGCAGCACATGGGCATTTAGAACATAAGTAAGATGAGAACAGCTGAAGGACTGGGGGAGGCGGTCTAGAATGGCAAGTTGGAACCCATGTAGAACATATCTAGCATGCAGATTATTGTTTCTAAATACTATTTGTTGTAAAAGGAACCAGGGCTGATTCCATCATTGAGGCTGGAAAACTTCAAGAAAATCTTGTGGCCAGGATGAAGTGGTCAAGGAATGATGGAAATGTGTCAAAAAAGGAGACAGGGGTCATCTGGAAGAGCTCCTACTGGTCAAACCTGAGATGATTTAAGCATCGAAAGAAATACTACAGTAGCAAATTATAACTGTTGAACAAAATATAAATCTGTGAGTTCATATAGATATTAACTAATTAAATTTGATGAAAAACAGGATATTTACAAAATCCTAAAGTATCTCCCACACAAAACACTTAATTACAAAGAGAAAAAGAGTAATATTGCTGTGGAGAGCCTTGGCAGACACTATCTTACTCAAGTGATCAAACTTAATAACATTAATAATGGAACAAATCAAAATTTTATAAAAAAGGAGAGGATGCAATAAGAGACTTTACCACGGTGATATTCCTACTGAAGATGATATTCATGAAAAAAATCATGCAGAAATATTTATAAAACATAAAATTGAACGACATTTCACTAAATTCCTGACATTCAAAAATATTAGGTCATAAAACTTGAGGAAGAACTGACAAACTTTTCCAGACTGAAGGGGACTAAAAGATACAACAGCAAAAGGCTGTTTTTTTTTTTTTTTATTTTACATATGTTATTTTACATAATTCTTCCTGGACTCTTCCTATAATGGACATAATGGAGAAACTTAAATGGGGTCTAAAGATGAGATAGTAGCAATGCTCATTTCCTGATTTTGATGGATACAATTTGGTTATACTGGAAGAAGCCCTTCTATATAGGAAATACACACAAAAATATGACACTCTCACATGGCACAGGGTAAAAAAAGGTATATTTGCACTATTCTTAATTTTTTTCTGTAAATTTAAATCTTTTTCTACTATAGTACTCAGAGAAAATACCTACAGCTACTGTTATCTAGAGATATTCCTCGAAAAATCAGTAAATTGCCACACGACCCCAGTCAACAAGCTCTATCAACAAAACACAGGTTTTGCCAGGTTTTCAGTGCCTCACACTAAAGTATGACTGATCAACCATGTGTCAGCAAACTTTTGTGGAAGAATTACACCATGCCAAAAGAAACCAGTAAAAGACAAAAGAATTCAGAAGAAAACAATATACATAGGAAAAAGAAAGGATTATTTCATTTTTTTTTTAACCATATTATGGAGCATTCACAGGTTTGCCACAAAGTCCCCACACGCAATCGTTACTGTTTTTTTTGAAAGAGCTTTACCATTTTCAAGACAAATTTTGATTTTCCCCATGTTCTTCTAGACATACTCTCCCATGTTGATAGTTGAAATTGACTAAAGCAATAGGCAATTTTATTTTTAACAGATTTGATAGAGCTGAAAATCATGAATCAAACCTAAGTTTACTGTCCAGGCTTTAGAATCAGACAGGCTTGGGTTTGAATCATAATCTACCAATCATATTGGATGTACCTCCTGATTCCTCTTTCCTCATTGGCAAATTGTAATAATAATACCTATCTTCACTGCATGGATGTGAAAAGTAAGTAACTTTCCCTAGCACATAAAAGGTGCTTATGGAATGGTGCTATTGACAATGTTATGATCATTCACCATGAGCTTCTCATCTATAGGTCTTTGTTCTGGAAGAGGCCCTGAGCTCATCATTTGGCTTG